CTAACATGATTTCCAGTAGCAAACAGGAGTCGGTGAGTTTGCAAGTCAGCAACAAAGTGAAGCAGTTAGACAGTATACAGGCTGGTGATGTTGCTGTGCTCAACTAGTAAGAGTAAAAATACTTTCTAACTCACATGTAAATACAGATGTTTGCATACTGTCATATGAGCTTTCCCGTATTGATAAGATTAAGTTCTTGGGGTATAATTTATTCTTCCACAAAATCGGGCTAAGCCTATCTGAGAAAATACCACTGTAACAAAATTAGTAAGAATGCTGCATATGAACCATGACATCAAATTGTTTATAATGACAATAGTAATGGTACTCATTTTCATACAGAGAAGGCAACAAAAACGATTCTGAAATACCTTATCACTTGCAGATAGGATCCCCCCAGTCCCTTGTAAGATCACATTACTTCAGGTTCCTGTATATGCTTAGGATGTTTAATCCCTTAAAACTTGTGGTAGAAATTACAAATTAAAAAACATCCAAATCCAAAGGATTATAGATCTCAAATGCAGACTAAGCCAACAGCTCTGGGACAGCTGCTGCATCTGCAAGCACAAGTTATAGATTTAGGAAAACCTTTAGGAAAACATGCATGAGCTTGATTGAATCTGTGGCTTGGTCAAATATACATAGAACAGCAGAAAGTAAATGTCAGGAGCAACAACTTTGACCACATGTAACTGGTTATGCAATAGTGTTACACTTCATGTGGGTACTGCCTGTCCCCTGCCTTATTAAGACCTGTTTAAATATTCAGTTGACTGGTCTAGTAGTAAAACAATAACAATAATAATAAAAAATACACACACACACATATATAATTTTAATTTGAATCCACCAATCAATTCCAAATGCTTGCACATGTATAGAAATAGTCACATAAAGGCAGAGAGCAAACCTGCTATTCATTCTGGGTGTAATTTGCATCCTGTATGTTATGAATCACAAAAACCAAAACCAACCAAACAACAGAATAAACACAAACACCAAACAAAACCACACTGCCCTGCCTGCCTCCCCCCCACCAAGAAACCAAACCAATCGAAAGAAAGAAAGAAACCAACGCACCCCCCCACAGCAGGAAAGAATTGTAATCAGAACAGGGCCTACTTGTTCCTTGCAAACCAGGAAACTGTAGGTGTCCATACATTCATTTAACCTAGAGTTCAGATTTCTCACTACCATGAATAGCACCAAGCCCTCTCTCCTTGGAAGGAAGTGTTTTCATACTTTCCAACATTTATAAAAATATATGTGTACTGCATTACCACTAGAAGAAAGAGCTGAACAAAAATGATTGTTCATCTACAGCAGTTCCTAAAGCCCAGCCTGGCTTTAGGACCTTGGGAAGGGCTCATCAAAGCCTTTGCCTTAAAAGCTGCATATTGCACATGTGTGCAAAATAATTAACTTAGCTCCCATGTCTCAGGCCTCTTGAGTCCTAGTCACACATCAACACTGTGGCGATGGTTTATATGCAAGCTGTAATGCAAATACAGGGCACCCAATGAGTAGCCCAAAATGCTACATCCTCATTTTGAACAGACTCTGCATGCAACAATATGGCACTGAACAAGCTGACACTGATGCTGTTTTGAATAGAGGTGCATGGATATGGGTACTGGATGAACTTATCTGTTCACTACATGGGTGAACAATGCCCACCTTACATAGCTGTACTTTCAAAGCTCATCTGTTCTCTCACCCATGAGATGGTCAGTCAACACCAAGAATGCAGGCTAAAGGCAGCTTTAACATCAGATGTGAAAGTGGAAGAATTGTGCTTAGGGTAGAGAAGGCTACAATTTGTGCCTAAGACTACTTTCTAAGTTTTAATGAGTAGATGCATGCACACGCTGGAGAAGCAGAAGGGAAACATGACTCTAAGGCTGAATGACAATATAGCTGTACATTCCAGCAGCCTTCCAACAAGCCTTGTCATCTGACACTGGTCTGAAGTAGGAGAGGTTGCATAGATGTATAAAACCCTTGCCCATATTAAATGATGCACAAGAGTTTATATATCAATACTACCAGTTGGCTTTTTTTAAATTTTAATTAGCAGTCTCAATGGTATGGATCCAAGACAGTATTTTGAGAGAAACATTGGCTAGAAGCTAGTTCAGAAGATGCCAACTCATCACACTAAGAGCCATGTAATTCATGGCTGTGTGATGAGACTGTTAAGAGCCTACAGAAATCACATCCTTCTATAGCTGGATATGTGTCCGGTTGCACCAGCAATTTGATATTATTGTGTGACATTTTGTCTTTTGATACAACAAGTGATAAAGACCTTCACAGAATTTGGTTCTTGTGACTTGTGTCAAACAAAATTGGAACATTATTACCATGTTCTCTGCATTCTACCTATACTCTGGGCTGCTCTCGTACAGTGAGTAGGTAGTAAACCACATACTACATGACCCTAAAGCTTCAGGTACCAGCTCTACGTGTCATAGAAACCAAACTAATGTTGCCTGATCCCTCCCAGCTTCTTCCACTAGGTCTACTAATATTATCTTTACATCCCTGCAAGACACGCTGATTAACTACAGAAGCAAAAACTCAAGAAGTAGCAGCCTTGTTAAGGCACTTACTGCATACATTAGGAATGATGACAGGAAGTTTTTTCCCAGGGTTCTGATCCTTCCTGTCTTATATGAGTAACAGTTTGTTAGGTCTGGTAGTTCCCATTGTGACCTGTGTAACAGCTCTAGCATAAAATTGAGGTCGGGGGGCGGGAGGGGGGAAGCAGTTGCTGGGCTTCCCTCTTCAAACTATACAAACATCCTGTCCAGACAAGTACCATGAAGCTGCTCTGATCTGGTTTTGTCTAGCTTAAGCAATCAAATTTAATCTGTCCTCCTTACAGTCATTTTGCTGTTTGTTACTATTTGCTAGATGTCATCAATGCTGTGATAAGAGACCTTCAAAGGTACTCACACACCCTCTCTACTTCACAGCAATACCTTATAGCCACTGCTGTGGTTCTAGTTTAAAGAAAGTAACTCTTGTGTTACGGCCCCTCCTTCTTTAATCACGTCTCTGTTACGACTCAAATGCCACATCTATATGCATCTTGACTACCATCATAGCAAGTGGTCAAGCTTTCCTCATTCTTCTTGATCTCCCTAGTGCTCCATCTCTAAGGCTTGTCTTTCAGGATACCTAAATATGCTTGTTCAAGTTCTACAAAACAAGTTTAAAAATCTCCATATATTGCTTCAACTGCTATCAAGCTATGGTTTAGTCATGTTAAATCATGCTAGGTGAACATCTGCAATATATTTAAAATCTGAAATCCTAACAGTGCAAAGCAAAGTTTACAGTTAAAATTATATTTCAACTAAAGCCCCAGTTTTGCAACACACTGGTACAGTCTTCAAAAGCACCCACATAACAGAAATTAAATACTACACAGAGAAATGCTTTTGCTATCTAAGTGCAAGCAGTGCTCCCTAAAGCAGATTCATTAAGTCCACTGAAGCATTTACAACTTCCAGGAGAATAAGCACCACATAATACTTTCAGATTGATTTTTTAAACCTTAGCTGCCCTGATAAATAGGACAGGGTAAAATAACTCAGTCTCTGGAAATATCATTCTCAAAAAGAATTACAGGATCTTGCAAAGACTTTCAGCTGGCACTTCCTTTTAGATGCTTATTAAGGTTTATCCCACACATCTATGAGTGCAAAAATACTTTCAGATAACAGTAGCTACTGGTTAATATTCCTTCTGCTCCTAGACTAATTACTGTTGAAAATATTGCTTCTTTCTTTGATCAGCCACCCCAGTAGAGAAGTGGTTATAAATAATCCTTCCAGATAAGGCCTTGCATATTTTCTTAGGTAGAGCAATTAAGCCATTATATACAATTAACAGAGCAAAAAATACTTCACAGAAACAGTTTTACATACAGACTGAAGCAAAAGGCACAGATCTCTAGATGGTCATGCTTTGACAGAAAGTGAAATAATGACACATGAATGGCATTATGAAATAAAATCAAAGCTACAGAAGTATTTCTACATATAGAACAAGAAACACTTGCTAACAAAGCTAAAAATCTTCGTATAAAAAAAGTCTGGAAGCATCACGCTTTCATGAAACAAACCAACCAACGAGCCCCCAAACAAAACAAAACCCTTTCAAAATACTGTTTAAAACCGATTTTTGGCATAAAGGGTTAAAAATAATCAAACTTTAAACATGAAACCCTGTCTTTTAACTTAACAAATGATCTAAGATGATTCTTTCATCTCAGAAAACTAGCTTCTTAGCAGTGAAATTTCAGTCTGGAACCAGTTAGAAAAATATCAGTATCTGGAATAATAACCGATACTGTTGGCACAAGAACAGACAGCACCCAATACTGATGCCTGCACAGGAATCTTGGTGTAGTCAGAAAGAAAATGAAGGGCTGGATCTTCTCCCTGTAACGGGAAAATCTGTAGGTGCACTACAGTAACCGTTTTCCAGTAGATGGAGAAATACAGTTGAGGGTGGTTTTGTTTTGGTTTGTTGGGGTTTTTTTGTTTGGTTAGTTGGTTTTTTCCTTCCAATTCTTATCAAATATTGTGCAAGTTTGTGTTTTCTATAAGAAGTCTCTCTGCTCAAGGATTCTTAATGCCAAAAGTTTCCAAGTTTCTTTTAAAAATGTGCATGGACAAAGAAAGCAGCATCTTCATATCTTACCTGATCTCTATGGAACATCCTTGATTCTTCAGTGAACATACCACAGCTGCATCATTACAAAGACAGACTACACTGTCTGGAAAGACCTTGCCTGAAAGCCTCTTTTTTTTTTGCTGTTGTTGTTTTATTTTGTTTTTTTAAAGATTGAAAAACCAAAAGGAGTGATTTATGTTACAGAATTCCTCTTTCTTTCTACATGACATACACTGTTGTAAAGCAAGTCATGAGAGCAACAACAGCCATTAACTTAGCTGAATGTCATTCAGGTACTTCAAATTATATGAAGCTCAGAACACGTAATACTTAATTTACTTCAGGTTCAGCCTAAATCTTTCATTGATTACCTACTGTTAGAATGCCACAACAAGTAATGGTTCCTTAACTGAGAAAACATACCTACATCAAAAATATGAGCATCACCAAATCAGGCTGAGCTAGCCAGAACAACATGGGTTCTATAAAGATTAATCACCAGTACTTCCAGCCACATTTTACCAATAGAAGCAGTGTTTGTGACACTCCCATAAAGCTCACAGAGTTGTAAGAAAATGTGAAGTAAGGAAGAAAGGTTTTAAGACTATCTTCACTTCAAGTCAATGATGTCTTCATCATATAAAGAAATTGGCTGAAATGGATAGCTAGATAGCGAGCTCTCCTCCCCGTTTGCTAAAGTATTGGGATCTGAACTAGTGGAAAGATGACGTCCTTCAGAATAGCTTTCAGAAGAGCTCGAGATTATCCTGCAAAGAGGAAGACAGAAGTTACTTAAAAAAGACACAGATCAGGGCATGTAGGATCACTGGCTATTTCTAGATTAAATTAACTTATTGTAAAGACAGAGACAGACCATGAAAATGGAGTTTATCTGTTTTACTCTGCTGAAAATCATCAAAAGGCAATGTCAATGAAGTCCCTGCCCAAATAATTTCCAAATAGTGAAATGCATCAAATATGGTTTTACATTGTGGCAGATTTTTTGTTTTGTTAATCTCAGTCTACTGTATCTTGGCTGAATTCTGCCTCTAGTCTACATGGACACAAGTTGTGAAAACAGTGAAAACAAGAGAATGGCAGTGGCAGAGCCAAACAGACAAATGCTATGGTGTTTCTTTGCAAAAGTTATTCTGGAAATAGCAACTCAAAAGCATATGAAGAAAACAGCAAGCAGGCAAGACTGCTCAGTGTAGATCTAGTAGTCCAAATCCTAATGACAGGCTCAACTGCAGCAGGCCCCCATAAAATCCCACTTACTCTTGCTTCGCTCATTAACATGTCTTTTAGCAAAAAGTAGAATTGTTCCAGTACTTACTTTCAGATACTTTAACAAACACATTAGCATGGGTATACAAAGGCCTCAGTCAGCCCCATGACAACTGAGATAAGCACAAACAGGTAGAAAACTATAAATTCTGAAAGCATTCAGTCTAACTTAGGTTATTTTCTAAAGCCAGTATATTTACCTGTCATTACTAGTTGATCTTACTGCTCCCTGTTTGGGATCTGACTGTCTTCGAGGAGTCTTTTTTTGCTTCTGTGCACTTTCTGCCTTAGGTATAGGCTCATCCAAGAGGCCTCAATAAAGGAATAAAAGACAATATTCTCAACAGAAAATAAAGCATTCATGAAAACACTAAGGTAACTGTCACTGGTTTCCATTATTAACTAATTAGTTTCTACCTGGCTTACAATACAGCCATCTTGTATGCGATCAGATGCTGGCCAGACCATTTGCAAATAAAGTTTTCTCACAGTTTCATTTGTTTATACTGCTTATTTATGAATACGGGTTGCATGTTACAAATCTGACTGTGATGATCCAAAGATTAGAAATTATATACTTGACAACTGATATGTATGCTGAAGAATCAGGAGAGTTTACCCAGCAATTCTTTACGTGTTCTGCTTGCAATTTCTTTAATTTCCATACGAGATAAAGATAGTGAGTGCGTAACTGGAAGAGAGGCAATGCCACTGGATGCTGTTGTAGTGATGACCTTGGGAGCTAAAGGTGACTTCAGAGGTCGTTCAATGCTTCGCCCTACCAGATTACTGAGAGGAATTTTGTACAGGTTTTTGCATGGAACTTCACCTGAAACACAGAAGGAAAAAAGAATGCTACTCTTCCACTATGGAGTCAGTTCTTAATACTTTAAAACAAAAAGTTATTCAGAAAAGTGATACTTGTGCGGGGTGCTTTTCAACCTAGATAACAAAGATCTACCTTGCCCCAGAGATCTTTCAATATAAATAGGCTAGGAGGAGGAAGAAATACAACTATGTTGTGCAGACTTGCAATTTGACTTTGAGACAAAAAGAAGATTGACTCCTGGTGATGTGATGAATCAGCAGTGGAACAAGGAAGTAAATTTACATGTCTTGAGGCTGGTATTCTGACTATTATACCACGACTTTGCACTCTGTGCAATATTCCCCATGTATTTTAACATGTTGCAAGTATATTGGAGCCTGGATCCCAAGTGGTTTAAATTACAGATCCTCTTCTTTGGTGACATTAAAAAAAAAAACCAACAAACCAACCCAACTTACTATCAAATAGCACTGCCTTTTAAAAACTGAAATTGTGATTCCTTTCTCTTTTCCACTTCTGCCAACAGTGCAGCAGCAGATTTAAGTGAGGAAGAGACACATCTTGCACGACCTAGTTGATGTTCCCTTGTTTCTCCATTGTTGTTGCCCTATAGATTGACTGTTAACAGATCATGTTACACTAAATTGACTGTGCAAACTCTTGAGGCTATAACTTCTTCTACTTTTGTTTTGTAAAAGTGCTTTAACCATTCAGTGGTAGTTTTAACTTTTCTTAAATGAAAGGAACAGCATATGTGAAATCTTAAGTTTTGCCATGATTTTATACCTCTTTTTGCATTATTAGCCTTGGTCATATTGCCAAAAATTCATCAAAAGCTACTGAAGCTTAATTCCTCCCCTCCCACAGAAATAATTTCTTCAAAACAGTGCTACCACGTATTGAGAAGAGATGCCACAGGGCAAAAACTCAACCAGGTGCTTCATAACTGTGGATAAATAGAAAACCTCTATCTTCCAGACTCTTGGGTAGGAACTCGGAATCTTTTACCTGATCAATTTCATATTACTGAAGATCAGTTGCACTGGGATGTGATAGCTGTGGAATGATCAGAGATAGTTATTCAAGCTGCCTGGAAACCATGTTACCTTCCAGAGAAGAAAGAGGACATTCTGGCATTTCATAAGCTGTTGGTGTTTGAGGTGAACTCCTTGAATTCATTTCCTTAGAGCTGCTGTCAGATGATCCACTTACTGCAGCAGTAGCTTTAAAATAAATATCTGACTGAAATGACAAATAACTCATCATTAGTACAGCGAGACTTTCTTAACCATTTTCTGAGTAAGAGATCAAATGTTTGCCCACTATGTTCTATTGCCACTATTGCTGTATTGCTAAGTCAACTAGTGTTGGTCATGGAAAGGTTATCCCACTGTAAGTGGAAGGAACATCTGTGATGTTGAGGACACTATTTGCCCCATAAATAGTCGAATATCTCAGATATGCATTATTGTGAGCAATAAATGACAGTGAGATCGATTCTGATTATCTTTGCAGTGAATATAAACTAAAGGCACACAGATGAACAGTTGCCACAGATCAAGTAGCACATGTTCTGTTTTTGCTTGGTTGGTTTTTGGCTGCAGCAACTTTTAATGTTATTTAGATCCCAACATATCACAGAAATAGTAAAACATTGTTTTCCTGTGTCTTACCCTTGATGCTACAAGTTGAAGCTCAGGCACAACGGCTGTGTGGACTAAGTTCCCATTCACCACTAATCGGATCTCAATGGAATCAGTAGTGAAGGCAAGGATATAAGGGAAAGCACAGACTGCAATGAAACAAAAATTATTTGGCAAGGAAAAATGGTTGATGTAAATGTCTCTTGGATGCCTCATGAAAACTGTTCTTGAGTATCTGACCTCTTCTGGCATCTCCCTTTCCTATGAAAAGGATTTTCTAACATACTGATGGACACTGAGCTACATCAGGCCTGAAGAAAATTTCACTCTCCATGCCTGGCAGAATGTAGACTGAATAGAAATGAAGAACAGAAAAAGCAGAAAGAAAAAACAGTTCAGCAAAGGAAGAAGCTGGTACTGAGGCTCCACTTTTTAAAATTACCACATGCAGAAACTCAGCTGAAGTGGCATCATGAATGTAACATGCTTATTTCTAGCACATATACTAACAGCCAGGTGCAAGCCTAAATGGTAATAAAAAACCCAGACATGTAGTAACAACAACATCATCAACAAAAAAGATATATTTTCTTACCAACAGCATAAGGAACTTGATTCCAACTGAAGTGGAAGTCATAAGCTGATGGCTGGATCAGTGGAGAACCTCCACTGAAAGGATATATCTTTCTGTATTGGCAAACATCTGTAACAAAAAAAAAAAAGAAGAAAAAAAAAAACGGCAATCACCTTACAGTGCAAGTGACAAACACCAACTTTACAGGCAGATTGTGCAGAAGTGTGGGCAGAAATACAGGTGTCAATTCACAGTGCTCTGTCAGATAGCTTTTTAGCTCTGAAGCAGTGCTAAGTGAACCAAGAACCAGGTAGGATCTGGCAAGCTACCAGAACCAGTAAGGCCTCACAGAGTGTAGAAAGATATAGTGTAGAGACACTTAAAACTTGGTTCGTGGTACCAATCTGACAGCAAGTGCTGGAACATAGGTGTATCTATCCTCTCTCCATCAACGTTGACTTCGGAAAGGCAAACAGGACATGCTTTCTTCAACAGAGAAGGCCATGCCTTGTCCTTCAGCATTGCCTCATAAAGGCTGCTTCATGCTAAGAGCTTCTATTTTCATGAGGACTGGAAGAAAACATACCTGTGTCCTGCAGAGAACAGTAAGTGTGTGTTATATCCAAGGCCATTTACAAAAGGAGATTGAGAGAATTAGAATGAAATAATCAAACAGTGCCAAGAAGCAGATGGAAGAAAAAGCACAGAGACAGAATGGGACAGCACAGAGAAGAAAAAGGGGTGGAATGCTAAATTGGGCATGTCTTGAAAACATTTAGATATGTGTAACTACCTAAAGAATGAGCTAGATCTGAAGAAACAGGACGTTTATAAGTACGGTGGTAACTTCTATAAATATGTAGATAAACATCTATATACCTGAAATCAAAACCTAACAGCTAGTATGTCTAAATTCAACATACCCTGCAATAATAGTTCCATTTCTAGTGTCTCTAATATGCATTTAAATTTAAAATAGTATATTGAAAAACTTCCCATGAAACACTGAAATTATTTTTAAATACAGATCTAGATTCCAATGAAAAAAGCATTACGTACGCAGATTGCAGTATTACCATTTTCGGTCTTCCCTAAATACTTACAGTTATAACACAACAGTAGACCAGCTTCTCCATCTTCATATACATCAATAGCTGCAACAAAATTAACCTGCAATGGTAAAGGGAAAGGCTTTTGAACAGGCAGACGATACTGGGGTTATTACAACTAGGTTTTGACTAACAAGCAACACAATCAGTTAGCAGAGTGCACAGCTACAGATAAGATAAAACAAGAAAAAAAAGTCACTTTTCAAATGCAGCCTCTTTTGTAATTAATTTTCAAGATGCTTTCAGGATGGAAATCAATTTCTTCTGTATTCAGTTCTGTGCAGTGCTGAATATTCAATACCACACTCACAGTATAAAGCAATAAAAACTTACATAACTTGTTTGGCAATACAAATTTTGGGAAATGGAGTGATTTCAGGACAGCTGTGGATTAACACAATACATTAAAAATAACGATCCTTTTCAAAAAGTGAAATCCAAAAAGCTCCATTGCACATCATGACTAGCAGAAAGATTACATTAGACACATGCTTCCCAGACCCCAACACTTACTGCTTGGGCAGGGAGATGGGTTGGAGACTGATTCCATGAACAGCAGACTTTCCTTTGAACAATAAGCTAGATGTTCACCTCTTGATTTAAGACTACTGTATAGGTCAAGAATGGTTAAACAGATCTGGAATTACAGAATCATTAAGGCTGGAAGAGACCTCTAAGATCATCCAGTCCAACCGTCAACCTAACACCACCATGTCCACTAAACCATGTCCTGAAGTGCCACATCCATGCGCTTCTTGAACACCTCCAGGGATGGTGACTCCACCACCGCCCTGGGCAGCCTGTTTCAAATGTCCAGTGTAAACGTCCACTGGCGCAACTTGAGGCCATTTCCTCTTGCCCTGTCACTGGTTACATGGAAGAAGAGACCAACACCCACCTCTCTACAACCTCCTTTCAGGTAGCTGTAGAGAGTGATAACGTCTCCCCTCAGTCTCTTCTTCTTCAAACTAAACAATCCCAGCTCCCTCAGCCACACTTCATAAGGCTTGTTCTCCAGACCTTTCACCAACTTCACTGCTCTTCTTCGAAGTTTATGTATCTTTACCAAATGCATTTTGACCCATCCTTTGTAATGACTGAAAGCCATTTCTGGTGGGTGGGTGGGTGTGGGTGTGTGTAGGAGCCACGTACTGGTACTCCCATGCTAGGAGTACCAAACCTCTTCATCATCAGATCTGTCTACAAATACAGATGATTTAAACAAGAAAACCTATCAAGAAGAACCATCAAATGACAAGAATAGTCCCTTACCTCACTAAAAAGTCAGTTTAAAAACAACAAAAAAGATTAAAAAAGACTGACTGTGCATTTAAAAAAAAAAGAAGCTATATATCCACATTCATATTTAGAAACAATTAAAATTATCTAATTTTCAGCGATGCTGAAGATCATTATCCTCCCAGCAGCAGGAAGTACTAGAGCAATTTTCTGAAAATCAGGACATTTGGTTAAATCCCAACTCTGTGCCCTAGTTAGAAAGATTCAGTTAATTTATTAGTTGAGGGCGTAACAATTTCTTAAATAGAACTAAAAGCTGCATCTAACTATTTTAGCCTTAGTACATGCAAACAGGCAAATCTGTATGAGATACTGGTGGCCAAAAATGGAAGTTATCTTGCTGCAATTTCTTAAACAGTAAAACACAGACCACAAAGAAAAAGCAAAAAGGAAACTATTGACTAAGAAAGGAGAAAAATTAATTTATGCTGAGAGTAATGTTCCAGAGCTTGAAACACAGGTTCTTTCCTAGCATGTCATACTTTATAACTACCTCTCTTGGAGTGATTATTATCACATACCCACAAAAGAACAAGTATTTCAGAGTGCCCTAAAGCAGAGGTTATGGAAATGAAAAGTAAGACACATGAGAATGTCTATAAATTACATTTTCACGAGGTCAGCACAGGATACACTAAGCCTGCAAAAAATAAAGTTCAGTGTGGTTCTGCAAGAAAATAGTTTCAATGATGAAAACTTACCTTGTTTGTTTCAACATGATGCAATCTATAAGTCTCCCCAGTACTCTCATTAACTAAATCAAACTGATGTCGATATGCTACGCAGATCATATTGTCACTGTCTTCAGTGGGTCCGTCCACCAGCGTCATAACCACTGGAGGGTCAGAAAGGCATATTTCCTGTAATGTAAATAATAGAATTATTCTCTTTTTCGTGGGTGCTGCAGGTATTCCATGAATTTAGAGAGATGTGCTCTAAGCACAGAAACATGATAAAGAACAAGCAGAAACTTAATGAAAACAATCTGAAGACTTCTTTGACATATATGTGATTGAACTCCATCACACAGCTTTATGGCTTCTTATTTTCACTTGTCTGGAGGTTCAGGAAGATAAAAATGCATACTTTTTTATATCCTTCCCCACCAAGCTGAGTGCTGCCCAGTCTGTTAAGGTAATTAATTAGATCACACATACCCGGATGTACTGGAACTCCTCTACTGGAGATTCAGATGATGAGAGTAGAGAGTTGCTGGTTAAACTGTTGCATGGATTATATTTCTTTGTGACGAGAAGCAGTTTGTTCCGAATAGCCACAACAATCCTCAGCTCACTGCCATGGTGCGTATTAATGGCATACAAATGGCAGCCTGAGGAAATAATGCTCTAGATTGTAAGTGTTGGGAGTAGGCTCTGGTTTTTTTGTTCTGCATTTGTACAATGGGGCTCTGATGCACAACTTAGTAACACAGAATTACAAACTTCCCAATAGGATAACATTAACTTCTAGAAAAAGACAAAAGGCTATGACTCTCTTGAAATCTGCTTTTCCCCTTATTCCTTTTGCAAGTAAAGACTAAATACATGGATTTTCACTATTCTGCAGGTTTCAGCTTTCCAGAGCAGCTTGCTTCTGATGACCAGAAAATGTTTACATCTACTAAAAACACCGGCAACACCCAAACTAATCTAAGCACTACTATTAAATGGAGATTTGCCAGTGTCCCTCTACCTTAAAATGCCCTTTATTTCTGTCTCACATCCCTGCATAATTCTTCTCATACTCCTCAATCCTGAAAGCAACACATCTACTTTTCTCTAGAGCTTATCATCATCAGTGATTGCCAAGTAACAATCTTTGTATTTCCACAAAGTTCTAAAATTTCATGCTGGACTCTACCAGACTTATTTTCACATATAAGCTTAACAAAGTTTGAACTGACTGTCCAGAGAAAAAACTAAAGGTGAACATCTACAACTGCCTCAAGGGAGCTAATAAGCCCCTGGCACCTACAGGCATCATACCATCGTAAATGTTATTAATACAGGATAACAAAATCACCTTTTGTTCTCTCCAGTTTATTTTCTCTGCAGTCGTATTTGCTCCTTATAATTTGCTTTGTTTCTATATCTGTTTGGACAGCACTGAGCCTGAAGACAAGCAGACGAGAGTCTTTCCCTGAAGGATGAAGAGAGCAAGGAAATGACAAGGTAAAAAAATAAGGCTGGTAGTTTGAAATTAATACTTCCAAAGAGAAGCAGCACCTAACAAACAGAGCAAAGATAAACAAATCATACTGCTTCTCTGGAGATGAGCTGCAAAGTCATACAAGACTGCTTATGAACTCTTCAGGCTTTAGAATTCTAGTAACCATGCCCTTCAGTTCAGTAGCTGAGTTTCCCATCAGGTGGGGCGGCAGCAAAGAATGATGTAAGAGCTTCAAAACAGTGAAGTGCATGCTATTTTGCAAATACACAAAATTTTGCAACACAGCAAAAATATAACAGATGTAAACTACAGGGCAAGAGCCAACAGGTTAATGTAAAAGCTGGAACTTCTGAAAACCTGAGCAGCTGATAACCGGATCCTTAACAGATTCTGAAACCCTCTGGGATGCAGAGTGGTTTTGCTTATCAGTCCTTCAAAGGCAGGCAAGTTGGGTTCAAGGCATGTTCCAACTGCAAAAATAATATAGTATCTACTTCCATGGCTAAATCTGTTTCCTAAAAAGATAGATACGAGTGGAACCTACAACCCCTAAATTTAAAACAAATAAATAAATTATGCACTACTACTTCCAGATGGGAAATAAGTGACTTAAGAGTAGTTTCTTATCTAAGAAACCCAGTTTCTTAAAATGCAAGCAAGTCAAGATTTTCTGACAAAGGTGGACTCTTTCACTAGACTAGCTGGTAAGTCTGGAAAAATTAAGCATGCTTTCTTAACACACAGTCGGTGTGGATCCCACCATAAAGTCAAAAGCAGAATCATGGGTGCTGCCTTCAATTCTGAGAGAACAGCAGCATGAACCAGGACATGTGGCCTCTGCAGGACCTTCTTTTCCCTTAGCAAGTGTAAGAGAAGAGAAGATGAAACGCTTCCTTAAGTATGCCACGATGTGAAACATTGAGCAATCAGACTCAGAGAGCAATTTCTTACTGTCAGCACTAACAAAAGGGAAATCAAATATATGCAATCCCTCCCCTCTCAAGAATGTGTGCAAACAAGCATCTTCACATCCTTCCAGAGGGAAGGCCAAAAAACATAAGCTAAGTCAAACGTTCAAGGACAGCGTTGCTGCTCTCATCAATTCAGTCTCTCTTTGGACCTGCTCCTGTCTTTGGTGTTCAGTTCATTATTCCAAACATAACTTGAATAATCTGGCATCAGAATCCACCAAATTTCTCAAACAAGCAACAAAACTTATTAGTCAGACAAACATCAAGGCCTAGAAAATGCCTATCTCATGTCTATAATGTCAAACAAGTCGCGAAAAGATAAACTATGCTGTAGATTTACAGTGAGTCAAACAGTCCATGCTTTAAGTCCTGGTAATACTAGGCTGCTCTTTTCTAAAACCTTTTTCTCCTTAGCTTCTCTGAAACCATCCTTGCCCATAGCACTTGACTAGCTAACATCTTCCATGCTAGAAGCAGTAATTTTGGGCCTTGCTAGTGATGATCATCTGATAGCAACATCGCAAAATCTGAGCTAGAAAGCTGCAGAGGCAACTGAATGGGCCTCTATAAGAATCTGTAATCCAAAATTTTCTCAGTAAACAAGAGTGGCTTTTAAAAGCATCCTACAGGACTAAGAAAATCAACACAGAACATATAGGAGGCTCTGATTTCACTTCAGAAAAGGCAGAAGACAGAGTCAGTATTAGAAAGGCAACACTTAATGAACTTCATATCATGAGAGTTTTCTGTTAACTGAGCTCTATCCCCATTTACCCACTGGGTAAATGTAACTTCAGCCAATACTGAGCAAACAGACATAATGTGGTAAAAACAATAAAGCAATTATAATTATTTTCTCTGTGTTACCCATAAAGATTCTGTTCTTGCTTCGTGTATGTTCACTTTGTGAAATTCAATCACAGACTATTGGGTAAAAAGTACCTCATTGAAATAGTGCATATTTTATGCACATTTAACGTTTCCAAATGAGGTCAAAAAGGAAACATTGTCAGTCCAAACATTTAAGTTATTTATTATCAGAACCTTCAAGAAAATACATTCTATAGCAGTAGAATGTGGTGACAGTTAACAGAATAAATACGAATAAAACACATTTGGTAAAACCGTGACAGTGTAAGTAATTTCCCCCACATTTTTGCACGATCGACTAAATGTATAATTCAGTCAAGGAGATTTCCAAAGAGTGTGAAGTTCCAGCAGTGGCTGAAGAAAGACTACATGACCAGTTTCAGGCTTGCCGTGAAGGAAGTGTGAATAAGCATTTAGGGATTTCCAGCCACTCCGCCCCCAGCATTTTAGAATATAACAGCAGTTGCTGTAAGTGCTCCCTTACTGTAAATGAAACATCTAATATACTTGACACTGATAAGATACAATTGCCTCATGAGACATACATACCCAACACCAGCCACACTTGTATGAGAATCAAAGAACAGAGATCTCTCCTACCTTTGTCTGTTCGGGCAGTCAAGAGATCCAGAGCTTCCAACACATGCATCTGCTTTATTTGGAGAGTTTTATCAAATACTTGCACTGATGGTTGACCATCTAAAAAAGAATTTAAAGACATAGTTATTCAAATTCCTGCTAAAATTTGCTAATCACTGCTTTTGACCCATCTCTTTCTTGTAATAAAAGCCTCAGGGTTTTTCTTACCAAAAAAATGAAAAAACCTGCACAAAGCTGCTACATATACCACAGTATCCTAGCCAATACTTCCTCATGGAAGGGTTTTATCATTGTCATGGGGATGAGATTATGCAACTGAAGCCTAGAAGGGACATTTCTTTGGAATGTTTGAGAGTTATCACCAAGAACTGATTTCATTCCTTTAGTCTCATATCATTGCTATGGAAGAAGCAGACTTTCATCATCACCTGAGCCTTTGGCTTCATGCTCACTATCATCGAGGGCTAAGAAATCCAGACAAGCAATTTAAACACTCCTTGAGCTTGGATGCTACTTCATAAGTCTATTCAGATGGTCAAGAAAATAACATCTAAAATAACAAAACATTCAGAAATACGTATTAACACTGGCTCCCCAGTATGGCTTGATTCTGGTGCAGAGAGAATTTTTGTAATTAGGTTACATGAAGGTAATACATTCACTTGGATTGGTAGCTATCTCTGGAGGTGAAAGCCTACCAACGCCTGAACAGAGCTTATGAACATGTATTTTCAAGAAAATGATCAGATACATAAAAATTGACACAAAACCACTGGATTGTTTACTAACCATCTATTAACAAGACGCCAGCATCTGTAGAAACCAGCAAGGACTGGCCCCAAGAATCTGCACAGACAATCTCATGAGGAAAATTACTGCAGAAAGATTGAGATTCCCAAGGCTATGAAGTAACATAAGGGATACATATTAAGCACACTAAGAAATACAGATCATATAGACACAGAATGTGATGGACAATGGCAAGTAATAACATGTGTATGCTTTTGGCAGGATACATTTCCAAACAGTATTATTTTTTTAATTTGAAATATCAGCATTTAGTTAATTTTCTTGCAGAAGAAATACTCTCCATATTAATTTGGTTTGGAGACTAGTAAGTGTAAGACACATTCCTGAAACACTGGCATTAAAACTGGCTTTCTGCAAAATTGTTTTATCATGTTTTCTCTGCACTTACCTCCCAAAGTTTGCCCCTCCTCCCTCAGTTTAAATATTAGCCAAAGTCTCTGAAATTCTAGAAGTGCTTCTGAAGCTTCTGTATATAAGATGCGTGCATAAGTGTGTGGTTGTATCTTTCACTCCCTAATGCCCTTGAACAAAGTCTGGTACTACAGAAAATAAGAACACAACTGAATTTTGTTTTAACTTGATGTAGACATCAAAATAAAAGATGACTGCATACAGAAAATGGCATTTTCATCAAATATTCTCAGATACAAAAACACCCACACTTGCTTTAACTTGAGAAGTGCCTTTACCTGCAGGCTTGTCCTTCATTAATTCAATATTGGCTGCAGAATCACTTTGACACTATACATTTCATGTTTGCTGCTACAGCATCTAATTACAAAAGTAAATAAGCAGCAAGCAGAACTGATATGCAATGCCATACTCAATAGCATTTAATTTTTCATAACTCTCCTCAGACAGATGGGTTCACTCACCTCCTTTTTACAAAAGCTTGTGGTTGCCAAGTTAGCTGTGGCATCGCCTTTCACAGTGGTTTTCAATTTCAATGCCTAATGCAAACAGATATTTTATATAAATTGTGTTTTTGTCAGCAATATTCAAGGTAGACACTATAAAGAAAGGACAATTTAGGACTACAAATTAACTCCAATTTGGAACTCGTATCACATTTTAAGTATTTAGGAAAGAAGTGGAATTCTGTATATCCTGAACAAAGTCTACATGAATCACTAGAGGGCTGCTAGATATCTTCTCAGTCAAAATGTATGTTAGTTGAAGTTGTTTGCTTGCTTGTTTTTAAATGGATACTCAAAATCAGAAAAGATGTGTCAAACATAGTAACAGAGAAAAGCTTCCACCTCAAATCATATAAGCTAGTCATCTACACAGTTCATTCTATATGCTAGCTGGATAGAGGATCCTTTTATCAATTATACAAGCTGGCCTTTCACTTGCAAAACTTCATAGCACTCCACCAAGTCAAACTATATATGTATATTGCCAGGGACACACTGTCACAGTATCACAAATTCTTCAACCAGAAGTAACTAGAAGCAAGCTGAATCTGAAAGGGCTAAAAACTCCAAAGAAATACTGTATAAACATAGTGTCAGCGAGATATACCAGTAAGTCTGCTTAAGGTATCCAATATACCTCTATTGCTAACCTTTGCAGCAGCATTCCTATGAAGTGATGACACGTGAAATTGTCACAGCATTCTTTAATGCAAAGTTTAAGGCAGTAAAATTGGTTTAGGTAATTTCTAAAGTTTGCCTACCATCACGCACGGTCTCTGTGAATCGGCAGCAATCAGCCGCATACACCATTACCACATTTGCATTAAACATAGCTGTCAGCTTTACAGAGATGCACAAAATACTTCATTGCATTAACATTTGAATTCTCAGTAGAGATTACCTTGACAATAAATAAATTATTTAAACATACTGCTGAGCAAGTCAATGAGTTCTATTTACTATCTAAAAACGCAGCTGACTATAACTAAGGGGCAGACACATTCATAGAGTTTGGCAAGAATAATTAAGAGTTACTTGGAAGGCATGTTGAAACGTTCAAGCCTACAGTTTGTAACTTTGGAGGAAAGTTCTTTCAGCGAAGGGAAAGATTAAAAGTGAAGAGAACCTCCAAGAAAAACACAAACAGGTATCTATGAATTATTAACCCACATGCTATGTTTCCCTTCTGTGATGACCATGCCAGGGATGGAAGCTCTGCTTAAGAAATAGGTCCCAACTAGAGTGGTTACATGAGTGTCTTATCAGTGTTTCACTTGGGGAGGGGTGGAAGAGTTCAGGCTTATAGGTTTCTGTACCTTCAATAACCATGTTTTTATCTAACATCTGTAAAGTAATTAGTAAACCTGGGTAATAAATCATTGGTTACTTCTGTCTGAATATAACAAACACATTAACTTTTTCTGTTTTAGTTGGGTTTTTGGTGGTGGTGGTGTTTTTTGTTTGTTTGTTTGTTTACACCTGCCTAGTGCAACTCGCTATTTCAAGGTCACTGGGGAAATGGTGGGCAAAGCACAGAGGAGCAGACTTTGCAGCCCTGCCAATGCAGGCTTTAACAGCCCTGAGATTCTTTTGCACCAGCTCTCAACCACCTGGCTCCATTCTCTACCTTTAACCAGAATCTCAGATTCTTTAGCTTACTAACTCAGATTAAAAAATGGGAGAGAAGTTGGGAGGTTTGGGTTTTGTTGGTGGTGGTTTTGTTTGTTTGGTTTGGTTCACTTTTTTCTGGTTTTAATTCCTGCTCTGTTAACTTCTGCTGAGTTAAATCAGCTCAGAAAAGAGGTATTCTTAAGACAAGCAACAGAATCATGCCACGAGTCCAGGATCAAGAAAAGACAAGTGGGAACTGATAAGCATAAACACTGTCTTATTTTCTGCTGCAATGAACTGTCTGATCAAACCAGACTATCTAAGTCACCAGAACTTACTCCTCACTGAATCAAGATGTCAGTAAGCCCACAGAGGATTTGAGTCAGTGTTTGGTACGTTCAAAGATGTGTGGCAACCTCTGATTTAGCAGACTGACAAAACTTATTGCTGGCAAAAGTAGGGTTAATAATTTCTAAGAAAGTCAGTGTTAAAACATATAGAGAAAATCAATGAAAAATTATGTTTCTCCAAAGCACAGAAAAAAACCAGAACTCCTGCCTGGATGTAGAAAGCATCTACTGCACGAAGAAGGGAAAGACCTTTTAGGTTTGATCTTAAGGTGTGATTTTTCCAACCTTCCTTTAGCTTATGTATTTTATAAATATTTGCAATTGTGATGTGTAAATATTTGTATTTTACCTTAACATAGCTTAAACTAATGCAATACTACAAAACTATTTTTGACTATAGAGAATGGCATTAAGTTCTGACGTAACCCTGCAAGCTAATCAAATTCTAACAAAAGACATGACACAGGTGCACATCTTCTAAATCGAACCTACCTGGCCAAGTCGCACAAACTCAGCTTGCCGAGCTTCCTCTTTTTTCCGTGTTGATTTTGGGGACTCTGGTAACACATCACTGAAGGACCTTCTATTGAGCATGTTCTAAAACAGAAAATGTTTCTTTTTTAAACTGAAACAATGTCTTTTAATGTCAGCTGACTTAATGTGCTCTCATTTACATTTGTTTTTGTTTTTTGTTTTTTTTGAACACTTTCCTCTAGTGATGAATCTAACTGTATAGCTTCTCAGAGAACAGAAACTGCAACTCTTCCAATTCTTAAGTGTTCTACTTTTCAACTTGCCATAGTTTATCACTGTCATGTTCTATACAATCATTGCAAAGAGCACAGGCATTAATACATGGACAGAAAAGTTTAAGCATATCTATTTAGAAATAAACAGTGGGAAAAAAATAGCACATTGTTAATTTTAGAAGTACTGAAGTTCTTTTTAGTTAGATAAGAATAATCTTATGTCTTCATCATCTAAAACGAAGTTATCTCATTGTTACCCAAGGGTAAAAATGATTCAAATATACATGTTATAGAATGAGTAAGTGTAGTTTTTATGGTGATGAGATTACTACCTGTATTTGCAGAGCCTAAATTTCCTATGCTGCAGGTAAGCTTATACAAAGTAGGACATTGGTATGCTTCTCCTCACATCTGGTTTAAACAAATGCATGAAGAGTCCCATCCTGAAAGGACTGTCTGACAACTTTCATACAACTGTAAAACAAGTTATATGACAACTGGCATTTAGCCTAGTGTATGCAATTCAGTGCTCATTAGGATTACAGTGAGCAACAGAACATTCAATCTACTAGTGAGAACAGGAGAGCACATGTGAGGGATGCAGAAACTTCTGACTTACATTTACCTTGTGTAGATCAGGGATCAGGTCTTGGTATAAAGAGCGGATCAGCATGTCTAGAGTGCGTTGACGTTTCTGAGAAAATGTGGGGGTTTCCAAGGTGGCTTTTTCTCCATTTATTACTAAAATATCATGGAAAAGAAGATATATTACCTAAACAAACTTTGACAACTTCCACTGACTCTAGTTTGCCTCTGTACAAAAATACCTGTTTTCCCTTTAGTAATATAAAATGGCCTCCTTTTTACACGGTTTTTAGTGAAAAATGAACCCTTAATCTTAAAAGAGAAAAAACAGTAATAGGAGAATTCTACAAGACATCCCAATAACCCCCTAACAATAAAAAAATTAAAGGCAAACTGCTCATCAAGGTAAGTACTAAACCAATCTAAATATGTGAAATGAGTTATTAGTCAAGTTCCTGCCAGGTAAGCATGCAATTGTAATCACCACGAGCAGTTCTCAAAGATTTCTTTCTCACTGATGAAGAAGGGTAAGTAAAGGTAAATGAAAACTGGAACTGAACCATTACAGAATTAAAAAGTTCTTAAAGGTGCTGAAAGGTACCTATGCAGCATGAATTCAGAAAAGCTTATATATTCAGGTTTTCAGAACTGCTAACCTAACACCTTTCATTACTAAATATCAAACAGCATTGTAAATTTTTTCAGATCTCCAAGTCCTTTAAAAAATGCAAAACTAAATATGCCTGCACATTCTGCAAATGTAAAATTCAGTTTGTATCTAGTAGCCCGAGAAGCATAATTGCATAGAAATTCAGTTTTTTGTTAATCTAACTGGTACAGTTTGATGGAACTGACATTCCACCTACACTACAGGTTTAAAATAAATTCTATACAGAACAGCAGCATACACAAGAAAATGTGTTTACATTTAAAGCATCATGAATTTAAATTTATTAAAGTGTTTCTAGCAAAAGAAAAACTGACTTACATTTCACTAACACAAAATCCCTGAATTCCTGGTGATTTGTAAACACAGGTGGGGATGGAAGGGGAGGCCCAAAGAGAGGAACACTTTCTTCTGAAAATATTTTCAGCCTATTGAAAGAACAAATCTTCATCTATATTGAAAGCCACATTCAAAACCCACGGTTTTTATAGACACTGTTCAAAACAGAAGAAAGAACTGGAAAGTATTGTGTGGGTATGTCTCAGGTAAGAACCTCTACAGGTCTAACAAAAAACATGCACTTGGAATTATTCATCTGAGCAAAGTTCTGCATCCTTTACACAAACTAACACTGAGACACTAACAATTATAACAGAACTTTGCAGTTCTACTCATAGAACAACGCTTTTTGAGGCACTAGCAAAATCTAGTCCTTTTCAAAAAAGCTGCAAAAGAACAGTTCTTCGCCTATGAAATATGTTCTCCTTATAGATTTTCACCTTAGCTATGCATTCACCACACGCTTGACAGACTCAATTCTTTCTGAATAACAATGGCTTACTATAGCTGAATCTGTATCTCAGGAATAGCAAATTCATTTTCACTGACTTCCATGACAGCTGGACCTGCTCAGTTTTTTTGATCGATAAGGAATCCATCATAGCAAGAATGAACAACAGGTATAAAAACGAAGCATACAACATGCTCAGCAAGACATAGCTTCTTTAAGGTAAGTAATCACTCCTTAGTTTTTCAAGTGACAGTCTGCACAATTTTCTTCACTGTAAGATAGCAGTCAGAAAAAGATCTTCCAAACGACATGTGCAGCTGACACAGGCTGCAGCAAGTTAAGTGGTAAAATTACAGATTCAACCCATCTTCACTGTTATACAAACCAGGCAGAATTTGCTTGCTTAAAAAACCAGCAGTGACTGACTGGTATTAAGTCAAATGGATTCATCTGGTCTTTTTTCATGAAAGCTCAGAAACTGCACAGAAAATCTGAAATGTAGTATTACATCTGCATGAATATTGACCATTCTAATACCGGTTTCACAGATTCAAGACACAATTTCAGAGAAGCTCTACGCCTATCCTATTCCATCCAGTTAAAATTAACAATTTATCACTACACATGGTGTGAAATGTTATTTGGCTAGAGCAGAATTAGTTAAGACCATTTAACAACAACTTAACCACAACAAAACTGATCAAAGCAATAGACTTCTGGAGTCACAGAAAAAACAAAGTCATTCTAAGCAGAAACTGTCAGACCTCACAGTGGCATTGCATATGAAATAAGGAAAATTTCTCTCTTTTCTTTGACTGAAATTTTGGCCACGTGGAAGACCATCACAAAGAAATAACAAAAGGAACAAGAGTCCTGTGTGGGCCTAAGTTGAAGGGACAGAAAGAAACGTAATTAGGCCAAGCTGAAATGTACAATAACGTATTACACCTGTCATATAGCATAAAAATACTGTGTGGTATGCACTATGGGAAGATGTGTTAAGACTGGCAGAAAGAAGCAACTAAGGAGTAAGATGGACTGATCTAGTAAAAGCAGTCAGTTATTCAGAGCAATATTGACAAATTTATCTTATATATCACTCATTGTTCTCCAAATAGACAGCAGTGTAAAAGCATTGACCACGTCTGGCTGATCTACGGACTACTATCTTAGGACCACATTCACTTCTTAAAAGCTAATGAGGGATGTACACCCAGGTTTCTGTCCCAAAACAAGAAGGAAAGAAGTAACTGAGCTTTCACTGCATACTGGAATCATGAACATGTTTTGTGCCTCTCACAAACCGCAGAACGCTGAAAAGCAGAATCTATGAGGACAATCAGCTGAAAGAAAATGCAAAGTGCTCACAAAATCTTAAAGCAAAATAAAACTACTCCTTTTTTAACTGCACTACAGACATTTTCCAAAACAAAACTTAGCTATAAATAGGGCAGAGGGGAAGGAGGCAAACTCCACATATGCAAACTGAAGTATCATGATGTTGGATTCTTCTCTGGAGCTAATGGCATGCTGGAAATACATAGTAATATAGATTTCTCTCACCTTATTGAATCAAGATTGAATTTTCTAAGCTAAATTGAAAATGAGTTATTTCTTGTGAAAAATTCTTTCGAGATGTACTTGTCCATATATATATCCCTCCTATAGATATACATGCACCTCAAGCACCCAAGTTTGTAGGCTTCCAACTCCTGCACCTATTTGGCATATACATGCTTTGTCATCCAACAAGGATGGTGTGAATCTTCTCCAGCATGCCCCAAAACAAAGACTTCTAAATATTAAAGAACTTGAAGACAAAGGTGAGGTAGGTGAAAGCATACACATTTATTGGCAAGCTCTCTTGAAGAAATCTAGTTAATATTAATCTATTTCTGTCGTGCCTTCACATTCTTGTGCATTTCCACATTTGCACTGCAGATTATTTCAAGTAACATGAATAGGTGGGGTTGCACTTGCAAAAAAAGCAACAAACTCTTACTGCTAACAATCAAGTTTTTGAGCGAGGCAAGGCGGCTTAGTCAGTTCTGTATCTTTGAGATACAAAATGCTCCAGTAACCTATACTGCAGTAAGAACAGATTCTTAGATGACTGTAAAGACTGCTCAGCCTATGATGTATAAAAACTTCGAAAGCCAGAACTTACATACGTTGGAATGGCTGAACCATGTGATTGAATCTAAGCAGCAGCTTCTGAAACCTTGGACCATGGGGCTGGTATCAGTGGTATCTGTTGTGCATAGCCGGCTAAAAGAATACCTTCTACACATGTACTGTATTCCTTAGCTGTCAAAATGATATGGGTTGTTCAAACAAAAGCACTAGTGTTAGCTGACCGGTTCCAAGGCTATTAATGGTCTTTTTAACAACCTGCCTGAGACCTCAGAGTTATGGAACTGTCAAGGAAGGAGGAGGCAAAACTAATCTACCTAAGGATCCTGTATTCTTGGAAGCTACGTTCCAAGTTCAGTTTCTTTCTTTCCACTACAAGCAAACTAGAAGTTCATCTCAAAGGAGCAGACACAATGCTCTCCTTCCCCTCTACTCTCTCCTGGTGAGACCTCATCTATAATATTGTGTCCAGTTCTGGGCCCCTCAGTTCAAGAAGGACAGGAACTGCTTGAAAGAGTCCAGCAGAGCCACAAAGATGATGGAGGGAGTGGAGCATCTCCTGCTGAGGAGCGGCTGAGGGAGCTGGGTCTCTTTAGCTTGGAGCAGAGGAGACTGAGGGGCGACCTCATTAATGTTTATAGATTTGTAAAGGGCGAGTGTCAGGAGGAAGGAGCCAGGCTCTTCTCAGTGGTGTCCAATGACAGGACAAGGGGCAATGGGAGCAAGCTGGAGCATAGAAAGTTCCATGTGAACATGAGGAAAAACTTTTTTACTGTGAGGGTGCCAGAGCATGGCCCAGGCTGCCCAGAGAGGCTGTGGAGCCTCCTTTCCTGGAGACATTCAAAACCTGCCTGGCCGTGTTCCTGTGTGACCTGGTCTGGTGATCCTGCTCTGACAGGGGTTGGACTAGATGAGCTTTCGAGGTCCCTTCCAACTCCTAATATTCTGTGATTCTGTGAATGCCATCAACCTTCAGCTTCATCCTGCTATTTGGGGGTAGAATGATTTGCAAATAGTTTAAATTTTTGCTAAATAAAAACTAATGTCATGCAGGTTCACACAGCCATTAGAAATTTGCATTCGAAGCCAAACACATTGAATTCCTTCCTCCATCTTGCGAAGTTTTCAGCTTTGAGTGTTGTAGACATATATGCACATTCCAGTTTGAGGTATAATTTCAGTTTCATGCCCTGAAATTTCATTTCCAGTGCTGTATAAACCAAACATTTTGGTTTCCCAATAGAAATTCTTTAGCCACAAGAGACTTCAGCATCTAGTTGGTAGTGATTTCAAACCTAACCAATTCTTTCCTCAGGCACATACCCAAAAGAGAACACAATTCTCCCATTTCTTTTTGATCTAGTCTAAGTACTACATGAATTAGCAGCCTTTCAGTACAAGAGAGATCACTACAGACATTGCTAGTACTTTGTAAAGGAGAAATACAGTGGCAAGTCTACATCCCATACTGAGAAGTAGAGCACACACTGTTAGCTAAATAGTGGCTCTTTCATTTCTCTTTACTGCTTGTTTGGTTCAAGCTCAAGGTGAATCCCTCCTATGGGCTCCAACGACATCCCACTGCCACTCTGCTTTTTCAAGACTGACAGCTCTGGCATCTCACTATTAATCTCAAGACAACAGCTGGGATTAACTACTTGGTTAAAGCCACTTTGTTCATTAAAGCCTAGGCACAAGGCTGCAGAAATGTTTGTCTTTCAGATTCTGGTGAGATCTAACAGACTCAGACTTGTACACCATATGCCTCCAGCTGTGAGGATCCCAAGGCTTACTGAAAAACTGATGAAGAACACATTCTTGACCAGCAAAATTCCACTAGGTTTTAAGTACATGATGTCCAACTGTACAAGTACTATATTAAGATCCGTAAAACTGAACTGGTTTGCTTAGCTACAACCAAACTCAGATCTGTAAGGATCTGCAGTCCATGGCTATCAAAACACCACATCTAATTAACGTTCATCATGCATGTAGTTCACTATGTCATTGGTCTCACCAGGTCAGAATGTTCCAGGCTTATCTTCCATAATTTTGTTACATTTCATCCAAAAAGTAGTTTTGTTTTGCCCCCTTAGCTTATGCCTGCTCCAGAATCTCATCCTTCTGATGGCTAGAAACAGGCAACTTATTCATAGTCAGTTAACAGTCACCTGCATCCAGGTCCACACTGCTCTTCAATTTCATAAATTCATCTGGCTTCCTGGCATACAGACAAGTGGACAATATAAACGTTTTCCCATTATCTCTAAACCATCAGAAATTCAGTGTGAAGTTATTTGTTACAATCAGCACCTACCTGTAACTATCATTCTTCATATTATATCTCACTAAGGCAAAAATATCTGCCATGCAGTTAAGGAAGATAATCCAGTACTAATGAAGCTCACATGTATTTTAATACACCTTTTTTTTCCCTGAGGCAGATTGCAGACATTTAATGAAGGTAAAACATTCTAGATTATACACATTTTACTGTTTATAAAGGAGGTCCCATACAAAATTCTAGTGTTTAATCAAGAGTTTAAAAAATCAAGCTAGCATCACAAATACCAAGTTTTTGTCATTATATGATTCATGAAACATGCTACAGAGTTTTCTGTTTCGTGTGTGTGTGTGTGTTTGATAAGACTTGTGATTAAAAATTATTTTAGTTGATAAAAAGTACTAATTCTGAACTTCGCTTATACCAAAACTTTCACTAAAGATTCCAATGAAATTATTTAGCTAACATAAGAAAATAGAGAGGAAGATTAAAAGTGTAAGTACACAAAAATATATTACCAGTCTTGATTCATAACTCTGGGGAAATCTGGGCAAAAAAAACAGATAAATCACCATGATTGCCTTGCAAGATATTTTTATGGAATCAACCAGAGGCTTCTTGCTTTGATAGATTTCCTTAACACCTTCTCGAAGTTTTCAGTCCTTATAAACAGTGTCAAAGAGAGTGTACATCTGAATAACTTCAAAGTAGCTAACTTACTGAAAGTAAGTGCAAAGTGCTAGTACAGATTCAATGAGGTTTGACATCTACCATATCTGACACAGATCAGTGTCAACCCCTAGATTTCTGGCATACACCTTTATCCCTGGCCACTGTCAACTGAAAATATCAGGAAGGTGATATGACAAGCTGTGGATTACTTAAAATGATCTAAATGATAACACATCCTTATGGATTTAGTGCACATAAGCCCCTCCAAGTCATTATGACATCAAAGACAGTTTAACCTCAAAATGTTATGTCAAAAATCAAAAAGAGTGGGGTGTATCAATTACATCATAAGAAGTCCTTCTAACAGCAATAAAGGAAGAATTATTCCTTTTTATACTAACACTCTGATGAAGAGGTACTGACTTGGTAAACCTTTCTTATTAACAATATTTAGGTTCCTTTGATATCTAAAGATTTTTTTAAAAATTGTGGAATTCTTTTTGTTCTAGTCACTTCTTCCATTTAAAGTAAAAGAGGTTAATACTAAGAGCTTAAATGTTAAAAAGTAAGACCAGCCATGGACAGAACTAGCAAGAAAGTTCCAAGAACAGTTAGTCAGCTTGAGAACCAGATTTAGAAATCATAAGCTCTGTGGATCATTTTTAAAAACTCAGCAACAGAGAATGGATAGAAATAAGAGTTTTCTTCTTTCTATCCATTTTTCTTCAATCCACTCCATCTACCCTAAGAGATGCCAGATTGTGATCTATGGACCACTAGTGTGACCACATGATAACCCCAAGCAATCGGCAGCTGATTTTTGGAATCATATTGTCTTCACAATGTTTTCAACCAAAAGTTTGAAAAACACAGACTGTCAAAAAATCTGAAGACTATGTAGACTATGGTCTGAAAGATTTGAGAAACACAGATCTAAAATACTGAAATAACTAAAGTAAACATAATCTAAACATTAAAAGGCAGCATTCAGTAGTTAATGCCAAATTAACTTACATCAGTAACAGAAATATTGTTATAAATTTGTATTTTATGAAAATGTATGAACTTTAATTTTTTAAGTGATCTAAATAAATGTCTTCAATAAAAATATCATTTCAAAATCACATTCTTGCTTTGGCCTTATCTTCTAAGTGGTTTAACATAAAAATTGTTTTATGAGGTAAACTTAGAGACTCCTTGTCAAGCAGTTAAAGAATGCAAGAATGCAACTGTTTTTCTAAAATAATTTTCACTTTGATAAGCAGCATGCAGAAAGGACTTCAGGTAGAATTCAAAGTCATATTGATATTAAAAAGAAAAAAAATCACTAGAAAATGTAAGGAAAAAGATACGTGTAAAATGAGAGCGAATCATGGATGGCTTGAATGCTGGAGAAGGGTCTTCACCTTCCTGAAATACAATAGTGACAATGTCATTTCCAATATGTCGCTTCCTTTCTACCTGGAAAAAAAAAAGAGAGACAAAATTACTTAAAAGACATAAATAGATACCTTAATTCTGTGAGAGAATGGTAAAAAAATATTCCTAGACTGCAAACAGAAAAATTATGGTCAATATGATCAATGCCAATATAAAATCATCACTTAGCAATAAGCAAGTAAACCTAGCAATGCCATGGTACACACACGAGGCAGCTGCTAGAACAGCAGCTGTTGCATATTGAAAGTTAGCAAAGCACTCGTAATTAATCTAATTTCCACAATTAATATTCACAAATCAGGCACGGACACCTAGCATTCCAAAAAAACAAATCCACCACTTGAAATAAAAGGGAAAAAACCCTGATGACGAGTTATTCTTTAAAAACCTTTCTAAATTCTTTGAGGTAATTATAATTGCAGCAGTGAAGCTCTACAAGTGTTCTGAATAACAAATACTCAATCACTTCCCAGTCAGTCAATTTCAACCTTCTTCGCAAGCATCTTCTGTACCATAATAGAGATGATAGGATGCATCATCTTCTAACAAACATAATGAAATTTTCAGCATTAGGTATAATATCGAGCAAAATTCTTAAGAGTTGCATTTCTAAAATATTAACAGGAAATAGATATCTTTTTTTTAAAAAAAAAATAAATGTACCTGCTGCTTGTTCTCTCTAGAATACGGTAGCATGGTTGAAACATGGAACATAATTTCATGCCCTTGAAAAACCGTATAGATGGAACAGGTTCCGGTTGTATCATCTGTAAGGGAAGACTACATTCTCAGCAGGA